TGTCGGGCCCAGCTTCTTCACCCCAACTCCAGCAGCTCCATTCCTGATCCCCCCCAGCCACCCGTTCCCTGTCCCCCTCTGTCCCTGTCCCCTCCCGACCCCTCCTGTCCCCACCTGTCCCCCCATCCCCACCTGTCCCCCTGTCCCCCTCTGTCCCCACCTGTCCCTGTCCCCTCCTGTCCCCCCCCCGACGCCTCCTGTCCCCACCTGTCCCACATCCCTCACCCCTCTCTGTCACCCCCCTGTCCCTTGAGACCCCCCAACACCCAGCCCAGGGGGTGTCAGGAATGGGACGGGGGTGTCCCCACAGCCCCACCCCGGGACCAGCTGTGCCCCCATTCCTGTGCCCCCACATCGGGGTTCAGGCTCTTTGGGGTCAGATTTGGGGCACTTTTTTGTATGGATTTGCCATTAAAAACCTGCAGGAGAGCGAGAGCTCCTGGGGGAGCTGGGAGGGGACAGGAGAAGTTTGGGGGTGCAGGGGGAGCATTCCATGGGGGAGGGGCAGGGGGGCACGGGATGTTGGGTTCCCCCTTCTCCTCCCAACAAAACATCTGGGCTGGTTCTGCACCTTTATTCAGCCTCGTCCCCCCAGAGCGTGGGGGAGGCTGGCGCTGCCCCCAGCCCGGCACGGGGGGCGGGGGGCACAGAGTGTGTCCCCCCGGGGGGAACAGCGAGGGGCTGAAGCCCCCTGAGCCACATCCCTCAGCCTGGGGGGGCAGGGGGCTCCTGGGGGGGCTCCTCCCCACACTGGAAGCGCAGGAAGTCCCAGACCTGGAGCCCCCCCCGGTCCCGGAGGTACCGGCCCAGGGGGACCCCCGGCTCCAGGAGGGACCCCTGTGCCAGCAGCCGCGTCTCCGTGTCCCCCCCCAGCTCATCCTCGGGGGTCCCCAGGGCGGTGGGCGCCATTCCCACCACGTGCTGGGCCACCCTGCGCCCCAACTCCTGCAGCTCGGGCGAGGGGGGCCCCGGCTCCAGCCCCCCACAGGCCACCAGCGCCCCGTAGGTGCCCATGGCCACGGGGGGCCCGGGGGGCACCCAGCCGTGAGCGTAGGTGGCCACAAAACCACCGGGGGCCCGGAGCCACCCGGCCCGGCGCAGGGCCAGGCGCTCACCCAGGCGGCCTGGGGGGGACAGAGAGGGGGGGGTCACGACCGGACCCCCCAAAAATGGGGGGTGGGGAGCGGTCATGAGCCCCTCACAGAGAGCAGAACCCCCTGGAAAGGGTCACAGAGCACCCTCCCCCAGCCCAGAGCTTCCCCAGGAACCACCCCAGGGGCTCTGCCCCTCCCAGTGCCAGCACAGGGACAGGGACTGGGAGCACTGGGGGCACTGGGACTGTCAGGATTTTGGGGCATTGGGGGCTGTCAGGTTTTTGGGGCACTGGGGGCTGTCAGGATTTTGGGGCACTGGGGGC